TCTCCTGCCTCCACCTCCCAAGTAGCTGGGACCACAGGTGCCCGCCACAACGCCCGGCTATTTTTTGGTTGCAGCCATCATTGTTGTTTGGCGGGTCCGGGCTGGGGATTCGAACCCGCCACCTTAGGTGTACATGGCTGGCGCCTTAGCCCGTTGAGCTATAGGCGCCGAGCCGATTCCCATTTTGTTAATGAGGACATAGGCTTAAAGTTAATTGACTTGCCAGAACATGCAGTGATAGTCAGGACTAAAACCCAGGATTCTTGATTCCCATCCCCTTGCTTATTCCAACACACAGCACCATCTTATTCATTAGATGTCCTGGGTATAGAGGTTTTGGGGAAACCAGATGTCAAGGCACATCTCTGTTTTTTCAGAGTTCTTGTCCCAGGGCTGAAGGAAGGAAAGAAAGCAGAATGACTCAGACTTCCCCTGCCACCAAAGTCTCTGGTCATGGTTATGAGAAGAACACAGCGTCTTCCTTCAAGCAGCAAAACAGAACAGTAACTGTGCTCCAGGACTCTCCACAACAGAGAATGGCAGGTGTCTTCAGGAGCAATGTGGCCCCAGCTCCCCTCAGACCAGGTGGGCTCTGACTCTCAGCTCTTCCCTCTCTTGTGGGGTGACTTTGAACAAAGAGTTCCATTTCTTCAAGTCTCAATTTCCTTATCACATATATAGTATTTATGAAAACCTAATACAGGCCAGGCACGGTGACTCATGCCTGTAATCCTAGCACTCTGGGAGGCCAAGGTGGGTGGATTGCTTGAGGTCAGTAGTTTCAGAACAGCTTGAACAACAGCAAGACCTCCTCTTCACTAAAAATAGAAAAACTAGCCAGGCGTTTTGGTGGACACCTCCCAGCTACTTGGGAGACTAAGGCAAGATCACTTGAGCTCAAGAGTTTGAGGCTGCTGTGATCTGTGAAGCCACAGGACTCTAGCCTGGGGCAACAGAGTGAGATTGTGTCTCAAAAAAAAAAAAAACCCCTAATACAATATACATGTTGTACTACGTATTTAATACAACATCCATAGTCTTAGTATCACCAGAAAGAGCCTATTAGTTCTATGTCTTTAGTTTTTTCCTCTCTCGTTGATCTTTCCCATCAATATACAAAGGCAATTATTTCTCTTATATTTAAAAAAAATCCAACCAAACTTTATCCTCTGTTTCCATTTTTCTCCATTTACAACTAAAAGCCTTCAAAGAATTGTTTGTAGTCCCTGTCTTCAGTTCTTTCCCTTGATTCATTCTTGAACCTTTTCTCTTCTTTCTTTCTCTCTCTCTCTCTCTTTCTTTCTTTCTTTTTTTTTTTTTTTTTTTTGACAGAATCTCACTTTGTTGCCCGTGGTACAGTGCTGTGGCATCACAGCTCACAGCAACCTCAAACTCTTGGGCTTAAGCAATTCTCTTGCCTCAGCCTCCCAAGTAGCTAGGACTACAGGTTCCCACCACAACGCCTGTTTATTTTTAGAGACAAGGCATTGTGGCGGAAACATGCATTCCCAGCTACTTGGGAGGCTCAGCCTGGTCTTGAACTTGTGAGCTCAGGCAATCCACCCACCTCAGCCTTCCAGAGTGCTAGGATTACAGACGTGAATCACCACACCCGGCCATTCTTGAACCTTTTCAATGAGACTTTTACCCTCTCCACTCCATTGGCACAACTCTTTTCACGGCCACCACTGGCTGTGACTTGGCTGATGTGACAGTTGATTCTCAGACCTCAACTTACTTGCTCTAGCAGCAGTATGTTTTCCTCTTTTTGGTTCATCTTCACTTGGCTTCCAGCACAGATACCACACTCTCCTTTTTCTCCTCTCTCTCTGGCTGGCTCTTTCTTTTTGGCTTGGTTTTCCTCTTTTCTCCAGTTATAAGCAGGACTCATGCCTTGGACTTCTCCTTTCCATCTACCATCATTTCCTTAAAAACGCATCCTCTCTTGATTTTAAATGCCATCTTATCTCCAGCCCCAACTTCTCCCCTGAGCTCCAAACTCATGTATCTGATTGCTTGCTTGGTCTTTCTGCTAGGATGTCTTACAGGGATCTAGAAGGTTAAAAAAAATTTTTTTCTTTTATGAGACAGAGTCTCAGTCACCCTAGGTAGAGTGCCAGGGCATCGTAGTTCACAGCAACCTCAAACTCTTGGGCTCAAGCAATTCTCTTGCCTCAGCATCCCAAGTAGCTGGGACTACAGGTGACTCCCACAACACCTGGTTAATTTTTTTAGAGACAGAGATCTTGCTTTTTTGCTCAGGCTGGTCTTGAACTCCTGACTTCAACCAATCTACCCACCTTGGCTTCCCAGAGTGCTGGGATTTCAGGTGTGAGCCACCATGCTGGCCTAGAAGATATATTCTAATCCTAAATAACAGAATTCCTGCTCTTCCCCTAAACCTGGACCTGTGAAGACTTCTTTTGAGTTCCTGACAACTCCCTTTTTCTAGTTGTTCTAGACAAAAACCCTGACCTTCTGTTTGACTCCTTTCTTTTCATCATACCCTGAATACCAATCCATTAGCAATTTATTTTCACTCTATTATCAAAATATGTCCAGCATCTCAGCACTTCTCACCCTCTTTATTACGACCCCCGTCCACCTGTCCACCCCCCCAGTATAACACATTTTCTCCTCTTCCCTGGATTACCTGACTGGTCTCAGGCTTGTGCTTCACAGCTGGCTCTCAGCAAGGCAGCCAGAGGATGCTGTAAAGATGCAAATGGGATTGTGTCACTCCTCTGCTAAGATCACACGCTGGCTTCCCACCTTCCTCAGAGTAGATCAGAATCCTAACAGAAGCCGTCAGTGGTCTCCCACACACCCAACCCCCACTTATACCTTTGTGGCCTGGCCTCCCTCTGCTCTTCCCGGTGCTCACTGGCCTGATCCAAGCTTGCCAGGCGTGCTCCTGCCTCTGGGCTCTGCATCCCCAGCCTTGTCTATTCTCTTCTCTCTTAAGGTCTTTATTGAAATGTCACCTTCTCAGTCAAGCTTTCCCTGGCAGCCTTCCTTTATTTTTTTCCTAGCAAAAATTCTCACCACTTAACACTCACACACACACACACACACACACACACACACACACGTATGCGCTTTTAATTTTATTTCGGAATATTCGGGGGTACACATGTTTTCTTTATATGCTTTGTTTTTTATAGATTGAGCCAAAATTATAAGTGTTCCCTGCCCCCAGATAGTGTGCGCGGTACCCAATAGCTGTGAACAGATCGTCCTGCCTTCCCTTGTTATCCCATTTATTGTGTGTTTTCCCCAGTAGAATGTACAGGGCATGAGAGCAGAGTTTCATCATTTCGGTTTACTCCGACTTCCTCAGCACCTGGAGCGCTTGCTTATAATAAAAAGCTTAGTAAATGTTGGTTTAATGAATGAATTGGTCCCTGTTCACAAATGAAAAATAAAACAAACATCCTTGGTGAAAAAGAGACCCTGGGGGAAATCCCCAAATGTTCTTTGGCCCAAGAGAAGCACAACTCATTTGAAGGGGGAAATAGTTACGGTTTTCCCCTTTATTTCTGAAAGTTCTATTGAACAAAGACTAGCCTTGCCTGGCCCAGTAATCCCTTTTTAATCCTTAATGTGCCTTAAGGAGAATGCAGAGAAGAGTGGGGAGGGGAGGAGGAGGTGTAAGCCCCAGAAGTGGACTTGCCTAGGGTCTTTTCAGCCTCTATAGGTCAGAAGGCAAGTTTTCTACCTGTGTCTGCTTTCTGGTCCCTCCTAGGTTTGCAGCTCCTCCTATCTTGAGAATCCTTCTGCCTGGTTGCATTGCTAATGGAGCTTCCCCTAAAAAATTTCTATCATTCAATGGTGTGGGTTCACAACCTGTCTAAATACTAGTTCTCCCATTGAAGGTGGGAGAGGGTGGATGTGGGTACTGACTGCCCCAGTGCCTGGTGGGGAGGGGCAGTTTGCTTCACTCATTTGTATAAAGTAGTTATAACAGAATGGCCAACTAGTTCCCCCAGCCAGGACCAGCTGGCAAAGGCAGATGAGGCGGCCACTTACCTGGTGTGATCTGAGGGCCTCCAAAGACGGTTACACCACCCACATGCCGCAGTATTTGCTGCTCTCTGATCAGGATGGCCCTTCCTTGGGCCTTTCCTTGCTGTGTCCCTAGAAGCCACCTTTCCAAGCTCCAGATGTCCTTGTGGAAGACAGAAGATCCAACCCAAGACAATCTCTTATACCTGCCAGGGTAAGAGTTCAAATGGAAGCCTATAAAATGAGTGTCTAAATATGTAAAAGTTATGATTGATCCAACAAACTGATAAAATGTTTTCCATCCTCCTACCCTTATGACAATCTGGAAAGCTGGGTTCAAATTTAGAATTCTCAGGCTCCTAGATTTCTTGGTCAGCAGAGGTAGCCAATGAGAGACCAAGCCTCCCTTCTCCTCCTGCTGGCTCCCTCTCACACCACAGGGCTTCCTGGTATGTGGACACCCCAGTCTCACCTCCAAGCTCTGTACAGCTGCTCCTTGGCTACCCTGTGCTTTGGGGTGCACACACCAGGGGCCCACTCTGCCCTCCAGGGGACCAACACTGGAAACAGGACTGAAGGAGGAGCTCTTTGGGGGTCTCAAGCTCCTGGAATATGATCTTTAAGGACAGCATGGGCTCTGGGTTGGGGAGAGGACATGTTCCCTTGATCCCCAGGACCCCTCACCCCCTGGAGAGCAGCATGGCAGAAGCAGGGCCTTCTTGTTGGGCCTATGGGCGGTGCTTGCCAATTCTAGGGAGTGAGGACAGAGAAGCACTAGGGAAGGGAGAAAGGAGGAATGTGTGGGCAGCAGGGGATACTGCCTGAGCTGGAGCTCGTAGCCAGGAATCCCTGGCAGCCAGGGACTGTCCCATGAGTAAGGGAAAGGAAAGTGAGGAAAGCAGGAATGGTGAGGAGGTGAGTGAAAGTAAAAAGGCACCAAAAGCAATCCTTGCTGTTCTTGGGTGTACTTTATGCATGTATGATGTGTGTATTGTTTTAATATGAACTACTTCACAAACTTGCACGCATCCTTATGCAGGGATCATGCTAATCTTCTCTGCATTGTTCCAATTTTAGTATATATTCTGTTAAAGTGAGCACATGATGCATGTATTTTTTTTTTGAGACAGCATCTCACTTTGTCACCCTCAGTAGAGTGCTGTGGTATCATAGCTCATAGCAACCTCAAACTCTTTGGCTCAAGTGACTCTCTTGCCTCAGCCTCCTGAGTACCTGGGCCTACAGGCTCCCACCACAATGCTCAGCTATTTTTACAGACAGGGTCTCACTCTTGTTCAGGCTAGTCTTGAACTCCTGAGCTCAAGCAATCCACCTGCCTTGGCCTCCCAGAGTGCTAGGATTACAGGTATGAGTCACCGTCCTTGGCCTGATGTATGTATGTATTTTTAATTGAACCATTAATCCTACTCCCTACTTCATGACACAGTATCATCATTACTATTTTATCATTGGGTGGTAAGAGGCCACTCTTGTTTTAGTCATGTATTTATTTCTTTTCGTTTCCATTTCCCACTTCCACCCTGCATTCCCATTGGCAACAATTGTAATAAGGGTATTTTCCATGCAATGTGACCATCCTGTTCCTTTCTCTCCATCTCTGGGTGCAATACAAGAGACTGCACCTCTGCATAGACCTGTTCTGTGTCTTTGAAGAGGTCACATGTCCCCTGTGTCCAGGACTGGGTCCAGCTGGCTCTTCCTGGCCTTCCGCCACAGGAAGACTAATACTATGTAAAAACATCAACATGGCCCTGCTAACCTTTGAATGGACTTTTGCAAAGATTACCCCGTCTTGGACCCAATATAAACTATGGGCCAAAATGTGGCTCAGTGGGTAGGGCGCCGGCCCCATATACTGAGGGTGGCAGGTTCGAACCTGGCCCTGGCCAAACTGCAACTACAACAACAACAAAAAGTCATTTTCATCTATAAATAAGTCTCTGCCATACGTTATTATTCTTATGTTGTTTTGAAGCCAATGTTATTCTGGGTGTTGTATTTTATCTGCTAAAAACAAGCTTGGCATAAATGTTATACAGTAGATAGTCATATATCTGCACTAATTTTTTCTCAGACAACAGTCTATTTTAAGTTTCTGTCTACCATAGTATAGTACTTTGATTATGATACGTTCTCTCTTATATTGCAGTTACCTCCTCTATTTCCTGGTAATAAATCATTATGTTTATCATTTTGATTACTTTTTTTTTTTTTGAGACAGAGTCTCATTCTGTCACCTGGGCTAGAGTACCGTGGCCCCAACCTGACTTACTCCAACCTCAGACTCCTGAGCTCAAGCAATCCTCCTGCCTCAGCCTCCCAAGTAGCTGGGACTACAGGTGCCCACCACCACACTGGCTAATTTTTCCATTTTTTGGCAGAGATGGGGTCTTGCTTTGCTAAGGCTGGTCTTGAACTCCCGAGCTCAAATGATCCTCCCACCTTGGCTTCCCAGAGTACTAGGATTACAGGTGTGAGCCCCTGAGCCTAGCCATTTCAAATACCTTTGAATACCACAGATATGGGTAGATTTTCATTAATTTAAAATTGTTGATTAATCAACTCCTAATTATAGCATCTAAAGTACAGACATTTAAAATGTAGCTGTTTGATAATATTGTGTGTATGTGCGTTATTTTTATTTTTTTATTTTCTTGTATTTTTTGAGACAGAGTCTCACTCTGTGCTCTTGGTAGAGTGCTGTCGTGTCATAGTTCACAGCAACCTCAAACTCCCAGGGTTAGGCAATTCTCGTGCCTCAGCCTCCTGAGTAGTTGGAACTACAGGTGCTTGCCTCAAGCTAGTTTTTCTATTTTTCAGTGGAGATAGGGTCTCACTCTTGCTTAGGCTGGTATTAAACTTCTGAATTCAGGCATTCTACCTGCCTCAGCCTCCCAGAGTGCTAGGATCACAGGTGTGAACCACCATGCCTGGCCTGTTTGATAAGATTATGTATATGTGCGTATGTTTTTAAAAAATAATCTACCCAACTAAATTATCCTGAGGCTGATTCAAAATGAGCATTTAGTATATAGATTCTGATTTTTTCCTTCAATAACAGATTTAAATCTTAATGTAAATAAAAGTGCTTTGCACCTTGTAGTAATATGTTTTTGTTTATGGAATTTGGTTAACATTATAGGAAAACA